TCAACAGTATATTTATATCTACGAGGTATACCTTGTTGTTTAAAGAATTGTACACAATGTGTAATACAATAGAGCCAAGAATGCGTATGTATGCGTATATGTGTGTACGTGTACGTGTGTGCGTATTGAAAAAATTTCTTTGTCACATATCTTGAGAAAAAAGAACCGATGCGTGTTAGCGTCAAACGCATAGAGCAGAATAGATCAACTGACTGAATAACAGACTGAACGGCAGCAGACAAACATATTTCACACAGCTAAGCAAAAATCAGGACCACTGGACTCAGCAACGTAAACTGTCTCATGTCAAAGCGACGACACGCAAAAAAGGATTCCAGGCGTAAAAACCGTTGCGTCGCGGTAAAACTCGGAGGCATCGCTTTCGCAGAGGGGAACAGCACCATTTCGGCTGGAATCTCGAATTTTGACAGTCTGGCGAGAAAACGTTGCCGCGTGTCCCACCATAAATCCGTGATAATTGAAGACACGGGAGGAACAGGCGGGAGAAGAGACATGTGCAGCCGTCATTATCCGCACGTGATCGTAACGTGAAGGCAATGTATGGGCACGCTGTTTCAAAAATTCCCTGACATTTCCGTTCTTGTGCGACAACAAAATGCTCGACGGCCCCTTTCCCCGTCATTGGTCATTTTACGGGGCGTTACCTCGGCAGAGCGATAGTTGTACCAATAATATATCCGACAGCTTTATGTGCTTTCTCGACAAATATAACTTTTTGCCAGAAATCGATCATATACTTGACAAATGGCAGAGGTGAACCAAACATGTGATGTATCGAAACAATCGGAGAAAAATTTGGACTTTTAAATGAATTTGGACCGGAAGCAACAAAGTCAGTAGCGAATGGATTAAAGCGCACGATTGATTGGACCGAATGTACATGCATGTACATGTACACGGGTGTCACCCGCTATATACGTCACTCGTACACCTGTATCACATACTGCAATTCACTTTGATTTGTCGACTCCGCGTTTCCCAGCGGCCATCCAATCCGTGGAAAATGTCGAGGGTTTCTCGTCCCAGCGAATCTCGATGGCATGCATGATGATGTCTCTGGTTGGTTGGCCACCGGCCAAAAACACAGGACAGGAGCCTTACCGCCGGAAGGATCCTCACCCCGCAGGCGCGTTTCCATGCGCCAAGGAAATATAATTAAACTAACAATGTCAGCCCTGCCACCCCTGCCGCCGCACCCCACAGTCTCGCCCCTCTTCCCTTTCACGACGCACATCTCTCGTTTAATGATGACGGAAATTTCGGTTTGCGCAACTCTCGCGCGAGAGAGGACTTCCACTCGGAATTAAGCAAATTACGATATTGCGGCTGGGGAGAAAAAAAGTAGAACGAGTCCAATGCACACGGGACGTTCCAGAAGAGGCGGGGGATTATTTCGTCGCGCAACCTGGCTTGATTTGGTCGGTTGATTTGGAACACCACCAGTGTCCTTTGAAGAAAATTTCATGCAGGGACGAGTCCGAGGGATGTTTAATGGCAGGAAGAGAATGGTTTCATTGTAACACGGTTATAATTCGTCAGGGCGTTTCTTCAGAAAGATTGCTCGGGAATATTCGACACGTGCAGAATATTTAAAAATTACAGAAGCAAACACCTCAGACCGACCGATAGAACTTGCGAAAGCAAACGATAGTCTTAATAAACATAAGTCTGCGAGCGAAGTAGGGTGCGTCTTGTAGAGAGTTTCCTCGCGTAAATTTATCGCAACTGCAGGTGTTCTTCAAATTCTTAATAAGAGAAGTCTAAACATGGCGGATCGCGCTCAGTAAGGAAATTAGTTTTCGTTTTGTGCCTCATTGTGTTGATTCATTCTCGAGCTATGACTTTACAAAGTTTCGACATGTCTGGAATCAGTGAAATGAGCGCGCAATGAGTGGCCGGCCACGTTAGCGCAGCGCGACAGTATAGGTTAGGTCGCGTTATGTAACTTATGTTGTGTTACGTAAGTGTCTCCGTGCTTTGGCAGCGCCGAACCGATCGAGAGCACGGCTCTCGATACAATCGATATCTTCGTTTCCAGGGGTTGCGGCGGTCTCGAATAAAATTCATTGGGAAACCGAGATTTTTCTTTTAATATTTCCGATAAGTACGAAGTCGCTCAGAGTGACAATCGATGTTTATTAAGACCGTCTGATTGCATTCTTGAATCGGTCAATTCTTGTAATTCTAGAAAAGATTTGTAAAATATTATAATATGGAGTTAAGACGGTTCTAATCTGTGTAATTAGTCTCTCGGAATTATTTTTGTTTTAGAAAAACCGCTACAAGCATCAAGCACCTTTATGAAAGGACAGAGAAATAAGATCAGCAAATATAGAACGTTGTTCAATTGCGATCGGTTCGCGATTCTCTCGGAAATTTTTGCCAGACATTTAGGAAAATTCTGTGCAGCTTTTATTTAATTTTTTCATCAGACTATAGCCGGGATAAAGAATGATCTCTCCGTCACGACCGTAAAGGGCCGAAGAGACATTACGGTTTTTCTGGTCCAGAAATCTTGTCACAAGACTTGTTTTTACTGCGACTGCCATCTGTATCGTATCGGGACTCTACGACAACGTGGCAAAAAATCCGGCGAGCGAGGTATCGAACGTCGAGCAAATAACAGTTGTGTTCTCCGCCGGTAAGATTATGCAGCTACCATTCAAGGGTGGTTTCCTACAATTCTTTCCACCCTCCGCCAGATGGCGGTATACGAGCTCTACCGATAAAATACGCCGTACCTTATGCGGACAGCAATTATCTTGTGCTGTGTTGGCTGCCTAAATCGAGATCTCTCGAATCGAAAATCCGCCTGTGTATCTTTGAACTGAGATGAATTTTGAATTTGCAATTTCTGAATCCACGCTCTTGCTTCCAATTCCTTGAATTTTCAAAACTGCTCGCTTCTTGCTCGTTCTCACACGTACTTTGATCGTCGACTAGTCAGTCGATCGTTATCGTATTAATATCGATCGTATTAATATCGGTCCATAACATTTTCAAACGCAATTTCACCAATAACAGAGAACTTCGATGGTGCGCAAAGTAAGTGCAAATATTTGAATTCATTAATTTTCGAATCAAGTTCTTGGGCTCTCGTGTCCAAGGATCCACAAAAGGATCAATTCCGTCCATATAGATTCAAGATGATTGGAGCTCCCTACGAAACGATTATCGTAATTGTTTGTGTAAAGCAATCATAAAAGACTCAGCAACCCTGCGAGGGGAGGAACAAACAGTCTCGATAAACCAGTCTTGTAACGTGATGTGACGAACCATTAACCCTTCAGCGGCTAACGAGGGAAGCTACATGGAAAGAACCGTCACACCTTTCTTCATGATGGAGCTGACGCGATTGATTGTCTCGTAAAGTTCAACTTGTAATTTTCGATCCCGTAAAGCCCGCTATCTATCTTCCCTTTTATCCTCACTTTTATGATTCCGCGAACTCACGCCGGTGAACTCACAGCGAGGGGGTGTAAACAGAGAATAGGGCAGGCGCGTGTTGAAGAGAACGAAAATGGGGAAGTCTTACAAGTGACGGAATGAATCCGAGCAGACAACAAGAGAAAATGAAATGTTGCAAAACACACATCCGAGACACACAAACGACGCTACTGTGACGTTCGAACACGAATGTAACGAGTGGAAACACGAGTAAAAGAGGTGAGCAACTTGACAGTAAAACAGTGACATTAAAAGAGACGAAACACGAATACACGAAGGTGAAAAACATGCGTGAAAAGAGTCAGAAGCATGTCGACAGGCGACAGATTAAATAGAGAGTGACAAAGGATAAAGGATGAGGGAGAAAGAGAGAGAGAGAGAGAGAGAGAGAGAGAGAGAGAAAAGATGCGCTTTGATGTTATCCGATAATTCGATGGGATCTAAAGATCCACTTTCACGTAGATTTTTCGTAATTTTCCTGAAGACTTCATTCAGGTGCGTGAACCGTCTACCAATTTTTCAAATAGGACTCCATCTCTTTCTTCCTTTTTTCTCTCTTGAATTAACAGAATCAGCCGGAAGTGGAAACATGAGGATAGAACATGAAAGTAAAGCGGACACAAACTGTAGCACGTGTGGGAGTGTCAATGATGGGAAAAGTTGACGGTGCTACGCTGCGCGCAGGAGCTGCTCTGCATAATGTAAGAATACCACCATCTGCAACATTGCGCATAATGGCGGCGTCATAAATCAGGCTTTTGTCCCATGTTCACGCGCGAATTTCGAGCCCCCAGAGAAATCTATTATAATCTGTGCTCATTGTGCGTATATACACAAGTCCAGCCAGTCCTCCGGCTGTTCCTCCGCAGGAATTTGCATAATTGCGCATTAACTGCGCATTTATACTATATTATTTATCCGGAGAATACTCGTTATATACTCGTCTTCCGCGGGAAGTGCCACCGAATACCTGCGTTATGGGACAAGCAACCTGATGATGAACGACCTGCAATATTAATCGAATCCCTTAGCGTCTTCAAGTGGCATAAATTACACAAATTCGCGTCCGCGCACAACACCGGATTTACAATGCAAATAATGTGTTTCCCGCTGATCATTTATTCACCATGTGCCAAAACGCCGATGGCTAATTAACCTTTATCCTCCCCGCCGAAAATCCCGCTCGAAATGTTTACTTTCCCAGGTACATCGAGGCGCAGAAGCGCGCGCCGGCAGAGAGCAGCCCGACTCTTCACCTTTTAAATTCTGAAGAGAGACAAAGGGTACCTCACACGCCACTTTCGATCTAATGGATTCGATTTTCACGAGCGTATACGCGCGTATACGTGTGCTCGTGCACGTGTTCGTACGCCGCCGTTCGGTTACAATACCCGGGTATTCTTGCATCATGGGCGTTGTGCTGTTGTTAAGCTCGCGGGAGAGAGAGAGAGAGAGAGAGAGGAGGGGGGAGAGAGAAAGAGAGAGAGAGAGAGAGAGAGAGAGAAGGCGGACGAAGCGAGGTCGCGGCTTACCTGTCGGAACTGTCGTATACCGCCATTGATCCGCAGCGAGTCCGCGGCGATGCCGGCGATCCCGTCGCCCGGCTCGCGGAGTTGCCGCAGCGAGGCGGCGCTCGGTGCCGCGCCGGTGTGCAACGGGCAGCAACAGCCGGAGCAACAGCACGCGGATGCCTCCGGCTGCGAGCTCTGCCGTATTATGCGCGTGCTGGGCGACGTGGTTACCAACACCGGTGGCGGCGGCGCCTGACACGGGCAGCAATGGTGACCGCTTTTCACGCTCTCTCTGCGAAAACAGAAAACATCACGCGCTCGTGCGTCGCTGGTGAAATTTGCTGAGCGGATAACGCGGCGGAGATTCTCTCTTCTCCCTCCGACGTATCTTGTTTCCTCGTCGGAAGAAAGGGTAAATATAGAGTAGAAAAGGATACACCTCACCGATTTCTTTCATTTTGAAATATGTTATAAAGGATGGAATTCTGAGTGACTCTTCCTGATACAATTATACACGGGGGTCGCTTGTAGTTTCTGAGATATTTGACTTCAAAGTTTTGTGATTGTACGTTGAAGTATATTTGAAGTAGACGAGCAGTTTGCGTTCACTTTAAATGTAGGAGACAGTACATGGTAGGCGGGAGAGGGGCTCCGCCACCCCCTCCCCAACAAATCCTAACCTAACCTAACTTATTACATCTTTATATATTTTTGGACGTTGTTGAAAAAAGTTCTCTCAAGATCTATCACCTGGCTCAACTTAACTTATAACATCTGCATATAATTAGGTGTTGTGGCTATTAAGGAAATCTTTTCAACATCGCCCAACAATGTATAAAGATGCCAATAAGTTAGGTTAGGATTTTTTGGGGGAGGGGCGGAGGCCCTCTCCCGCTTATATGTATTGTTTTCTATATTTCTATGCGTACACTATGTTTGGATTAACTGTTTGGTTTGTACTGTAAATAACGTCAGCTTATGATATCTGGAATTTAATTCCAGGATAATTTCGCCTGTTCCCTCGGCGAAGGATCTGTCTGGACGTTTAATCACGAGCCGTGTTGTTACATGACGTTGTCGATGATTTCGTTTCCTCATTTTCTTCGAGAGGAAAGGATTCACTCCCGGAGCAGCAGTCGATTCGAGAAAACGTAGCCGATGTAAGATGTCGGATTTCTAAGACATTTCGTAAGATATTGTTGAAACGTCGAAGATGCGAAATTCACCGTGAAATTCTCCAGCGAGATTCTAGCGGAGGCCGGCCGGAACGCTGGATGTGACCGATTCAATTTTATCGATGGAATACGTCCGCGTATCGCGGAGCAACTCTTTATTTTTAGGATGCCCTGAGTCAGGAACTTGCGATTTATATAGAACGTCGCTCACACGTAAGACCGTCGCCCGAATATATCGATCATTATTAATTATCGTGCACTTCGGCCTTCGATAGAAAGTGGAGTCCCTCTTTGTTTCTGTACGGCTTCTTGGGATAACAATGAATCTTCTCCTCTTTGAGGTTCGATGCACTTCTCTTACGTCGCAAATATATCAAAGATACGCTCGCCATGGTAACTGTTCAGATAATGCGATACGGTGCCGCGCTCGAACTTTTCGTTTTAACCGCGGTTTTACGCACGACGGGCTCGCGATATCACCGTGTTTTCATTTCGCGATATGGGTTTGTGTGATTTTGCGCGCATAAATTGAAACGGAATCGGGGAAAGCGCAAAAACTCTAACACACCCGATCAATCCAACTGGCCCGCTAACGGCCAACAACCGGTTAGAATATGATCGCGGAAAAGGTCCCGCAAAATGAAAAGATTCGAGCGAGATCAGTTTCACTATATTCGCGTAGGGAATTTCCGCCGTTGCCATTTTTTATACGTCGTTTCTCTATCTCTGGGAATCCCCGGTGTATATTTTGCAGCCGCCGGAAGACCCGAGGAGTTACAGGACGTAAAATTCCACGGCTGAACTTCTGACCCGGTGAACGAGATCGTCCTGGAAAACTCGCGGCGGTGGCAAGCGCGTGAAATTCCCCGGATCGCGGCGAAGAGAAAAGCTTCTTCCGCCTGGAGGGTCCTCGTCTAAGGAAACACAGGCCTCATATTTTTCCGAGTGCGACGCATTTCCGGGAGAACGGCGATCCCAACGAATTGCCGGGCGTACTTAGATAAAAATGGCCGATCCGTAGCAATCTTGAGAATAGATTCCTCCTCCCTCCGCGGTCCGAGTAAAAATTCACGCTCCGGAGGTTCCAGAGGAATTCTTCGATTCAGGCGACCCGTCGCCTGCGTCGATCCTACCGTTGAATTGCTGCGCGAGACGTTGCTTTCGAATCAACGCTCTGGTAGCGATCTTCGAGAGCGAGAGGTCACAAAGTGCAAGCCGTTATTTGTGTTACCGACAAAGTTCCCCCAAAGTGCAAAAGCGGGCAATCCGCGGGCGCGCACCGACGCGAGCTGATTTCTCCTACGTCGCGAATACATGCAAAGGGTCGTTCATTTAATTAAGAATAAATATTGCATATAAATACATCCCCGCGCACACATTCGACGAATATTGCGCGAGAGTCCCTTGGGACGCGACCCAGAGCATTAACTAACGATAGCGGTGCGTAGCGAGGTTGTATAAACAATATCGGACAACGCGGACAAAAGGACGAAATCATAAACCGTATCGGAAATAAAAGCTCGCGGCGTACAGCGCCACCTGCTGTGCGCGCGCGGCTCCTATCGAACGCGCTGTGTCTAGAAGCGTTCGCTCCAATTCTGTTACATTCAAACGCAAGTTTACGGCAGCACGGCCGACTAATGTTCGCAGAGTGGCTAAACTTTGCCAATTATACGAGTCAAAACTTTACGCGCAGGCTTAAAGAGCTACACGAGACTGTCGTTTCCTTCTTTCGACGCGTGCTGAGCCTTCGTGGATCAGCGTTATCGTACATCGCGACAGAGTGTGCAGCACGAGAGTCCTACTTTCTTTCGCCCGCTACGTATCGTAATGCGAACGTGGAGGTTAATAATAATGGCGGATTCGGTAGTCGCCCGGAGGGTGTAATTAGCTGCTGATGGCATGACATTCTGGCGTTCCCGACAATACACACGTTCGCTCTTGCGCCTCGTACTCGTCAACTTACCCTTTTATTAATCTCGACACGTATACAATTATGAGGAGTGGTCGTACTTTGCACTCCTCGACCGGACAAATAGCTACGCTGGATCGGACGCGCACGTGTGTGTATCAGCAAACACGGAAATCACACACAGCGCAGCAGCCGACTCGTGAAAAATAAACGTCATCGCGATATCGAAGAATCGCGAAAAATGTTCAGCTCTGCGCGCACACGACGCGTCTACGCCATTTCGACAGAATGGGAAGGATAAAGCGCCCATCAAGCATCCCTGTATACGTCCGTGTGGACAATAATCGTTCCACGTCCAACGTCGGCGCAATGACGGAAAGCTGCCGCTCCATGGATCGACGAGGAACGTAACAACATCACGTCATTTACTTGGAGGAAGAAATCACGGACTCGACAGTCAGTTGAGTACTCCAGCGGAGGAATCCTCCATTTGGAATACATAAGCAATTCCGTTTCGCTCGATTCTACTCTGCCCTAACTACTACCTACCTGGAGACGCTGCGGGCCAAATGAAGAGCCGAGGTGGGTGCGAGGGAGTCCCTTCGGTCGCATCTGCATCTATACTGATGCGACTGCCTAGACGAGCGGTGCGCCTGTAGCTGCGACGATGGCTGCACTTGCGACTGCTGGTGCTGCGGCTGTTGCTGCTGCTGCTGCTGCTGCTGCTGCTGTTGCTGCTGCTGTGGAAGTTGCGGGACCTGTGGCTCGCCGTCCAGCCGACAGTGAAGCTCAATGTCCGGTACTGATCTGGTCGCTGGGTCTTCGTTAGTGCCGCTCTCCTCGGAGCCGCCGAGTCCGGACACGGACAATTGCGGCGAGGCGACCAGGAAGGTCGCCCGATCCTGCCGCGTGAGCACCGGCTTGCCCTGAGACGCCGCGGCCACCACGACCGGCGGCGGCGGTTGCCTGCCCAACAGGGCCGCCGTCTCTTCATTACCGTAATCGGTACCGGCGCCACCTTCTTGACCAACCGCGTTGCCGTTCGTGTTCATCTCGAGCCGGCTTGTAGTCCGCCGTGTCACGTCGTCATCCTCTGGAACAGGTGTTGGCGAACTAGTTAGAGGCAGGGGCCCTCGCCAAACCGGAAATTCGGATCCTCCGGTCAGACGATGGTGAGATGTGCACGGATGGTCACGTACAGGTGGATCGATGGAGACGAATTTAGAAATTTACGCTCGCTGCCAAGACCTCGGGCAAACGCGAATAAATAGCACAGCTTGGTATTTGGAGTATTTTATTCCCGACGCTCAGACTCACTTGTTGTTTTAATTCGCGAGGGCCTTAAACTATCATTCGGGACGCTTTGAGGCTTCGCCTCGAATCTCGAGTCCGATATTTCTACGGATCGCTACGGATACTTTCGTGTGATCCCTGCACTTTTCGCGACTCTCCAATCTCGGGAACAGCGAACCTTCAAGCGACGCTTTAAAGCAGAGCCTCTGGTTTGTCGTATATTGCTCCTCGTCCGAGGGAAGATTTCCAAACTCACCATGGAAGCTTTTGAGGAAACCGCCGAAACCGCTACCGAGGAGCTGAGCAAAATCTGCCAGGAGGAGAAGGAAGAAATCCAAAAAGTATCGTAGAATTATCGAACATTATTCAGACGGGAATGTCCCGGTTAGCTCTAGCAGTTTACTCGGGACACGAAGAGTTCGGGAGCAGCGGTGGAGCAGCGTCTACATTTTACACGAATCGCTCCGTAAGGATGAAGTCGCGTGTATCTAAAGTTGGTCTTGGCCATTATTTATTCACACGGTCCACCTGGCTCACACCCCCGCCCGCGGCGCACGTCTCCGGCATACAGGTCCTGTCTTTCTTGCGAACTGCGGAATTAACAAGTTCAGGAGACGGCGGAGAACAAGCTGGTATCCGGACGATTCAACAACGCCATACATCATCCGTATCAATGGCGGAGCGCGAGTTCCAGAGTGAGAGAGAGAGAGTGAGAGAGAGAGAGTGAGAGAGAGAGAGAGAGAGAGGCACGTGAATATCGGTTTCCGAGCTGTCGGCGAGCAGCAGCTAGCGGTGAATTTCGGCCGTCACCTTCGGAAAGTGCTTCGAGAGTATCGACCGCGGTGGTGTCCGGCCTGGTTTGTGGCCTTTCGAGATTTCCGGCGCTGGATGCGGCGGCGGCGGCGGCGGCGGCGGCGGCCCGCCGCAAGATTTACCAAGCTAGCATCGTCGGCCGGTTAGGCCGTTGACGAGTCTCGTCACGTACATACGTTAATACATAGAGGGTGATCCATTTAGAACGCCGTTCGCGGCGGAGCGCGAGGTGCGGGCAGTAAACGACACCGGGGTTATTTACGACGGTCGCCTCGCCGAGGCCGGCAAACTGAATTAAGGACGAGAGACAAATAATGTCGATACACAATTAATATCGGATGAAACGCGCGCGCTTCGGTGAGAATTTCATGTCGGGTCCGGATGTGCGAAAAATCGATGACTTTGCGCGCAATCTTCATCGGCGAGTGACGAGCGTGGGTCGAGCGAGTGGAATCGCGCGAGGCAGGCTCGAGCCTGACTCGCCTAAGGCTGGTCTCACGGTTGACGATAAATTTCAACGGCATCCGGGATGCCTTTTGTGCATTAGCCTCGCTTTGCTTTCCTGTTGACTCGACGTTGCTCTTGACTACATGCTAATTCGGGTGAATCGTTAATCCCGCGGCTGACTCGTCCGTATCGCCGAAATTTCGTCTTGACGCACGCGGAAAGCGTACAATACGCCTCTCAGGCTGCTTCTCACAAAGTGCTGCCACGTTATCAGAGCGATCTTGCGACGGGGCACGAAACCGTCGCGTAGAAACCACATTAGCGCAATTAGTTGGCTACAAAGTGTACGAAACAAACGAGACTACAAGCGAAATTACAACTGCGACGTTAAAGCGTCGTCTACAATGGCAGCAAGCGATAAGAAGGAAACGTGAACGGTAAGAAATAGACCAAGCACAGTTGATTATTTTTGTCATAATCGACTGTGATTGGTTTATTTCTTACCGCTTACGCTTCTTACTGCTTACTGCCATTGCAGACGACGCTTCGGAGTCGTCGTTAAGGTCATTCTACAATACGTCGTAGTAAGTTGTAAGCCGTAAGAATTGACGAATCATAGTCGATTATTACAAAAATAATCGGTCAGTTATAATCGGTCAGTTCTTACGGCTTACAACTTACTACGACGTATTGTAGAATGACCTTAAAAGGGCGGCCACTTTTATCAGGCCCCGGCAACGCTCCTGCAAGTCCCGGCCGCTTCACGAGATTCGCGATGATAAGCGAGCGATAAGTGTGAGCGATGTCCCTTTTCCGACTCACTTAACGTATTATCGGGTCTCGCGGGGGTCTCGGCAGCCCTTCCCCCCGGTTTAGCGGAAAATCAGCCGGGATAATTGGAAGTTGATTAAATATAAAAAGAGCAGCACAGCATTGCAGGGAGCGCGAGAGGACGCAGCAGGTTATTTTTTCAAATGTGTGGGTCGCCGGGGGACATTTCCCCCCTCCGTTGTGTGTTTACGAGGAGCGTTGACGAAAACAAGCGTAAAAAATAAAGTGCAAAATGGAGCGGTGGCTGTTTTACGTACGTCGGTCGTGATTTCGACGTTTCGAGACGAACGCGCGATGAGATCGGACGATTGATTGCGTTTTGCTCGCGAGGAGGAGGCGAGGAGGAGGACGTCATCGTCCCTCAAATAATCTTCCGGAAGCGGCACGATCACTTTTGCGCAAGAAAACTCCCCGTCGTCGGATCGCGCTTCTATCTATAAAATACGGCGCAAAAAGCGTACGCATTTCGTACGCAAACTTATGCGCCTTTCCTCGGGCGTTCAATTTTTCAACGGTCTTTTCCTCTCGCCCTCGCTCCCTCTCTCTCTCTCTCTCTCTCTCGCCTGCCGAGCTCCTTCGGAGCTCCCTCGCTCGTTACTTCGCATCCCCGAGAGTCCTTATCCCCGCTCTTTGGGACTCGCGCAGTAATTTTTCGCCGTCGAAATACAAGCGAGCTCGTCGAGCTGCCGTCCGTGGAAAAGGTGAGAGGTGAATATCGGTCGCGCCACGCGCGCGCGCGCGCGCGCGCAGACAGAATTTTTCTCCGATGCGCTTTCCCCATTTTTGCGCGCGCGCGCGCGCGAGAACGTTATTGAAAATAAAACGAAATAAAATGTCGCCCGGCGGAGAATATGCGAGCGAGCGATACCTCCTACGCGACGAACTGTGCGTACATCCAACATGAAACACAAAACGCCGGGGAAACGAGGATACAGATCGGCAACTTTGAAAGGATGATTGCCCCGCAGGCGAGGGGGACGGGAGGGGAGGAAAAATACGTCGAAGGAACATGGCGCTATGGCGTGATTCTCGTCATCGCGTCGTATCGCAAGATTCAGCGGAGCTGAAAAAAGGCGGAGCAGCGGACCCCGGCCGAGAAAGCGTCGCGTATAAATTGGCGTATTAATTAAACGATAATTTACCCGAGCGGCGGCCGTAATTCTTATTAACACCACCATTCCGGCGGTCCCGCGCCGAAATTCCCACGTGGTTCGCCCCCTTCATTACACTAAAAGGTCTCAGGACGATGCGAAAGGACGCTACGTTATCGTAGATAACGTGCGAATGCATCACGCTGGCTCACGCTGGCGCGTGTCCATTCGCAGCTGCGAGGTGGGGGGAGGGGAAAGGGGACGTTAGAGTTTAAATAAAATGTCCGCGCGTTTGTATGAAAAAGGGGGGAGAGAGCGTGCGCGCTCTTTTTCCCTCGTGATTTTCGTGTCAGTGAAAATGAGAGACGCCGGGTGAGTAGATGGGTGGATGGATAAATATATAGACGGATGGACGGACGGATGATAGCAGCACGCGAACACGCGCTCGGTATTTTTATTCCCCGCGGGATAAAGTCGGGCGACTTTATGGAAGCGATCACGATGTCGCTCGCGAGCTCGTTAGAGCCGTGCCGGGCTCGTAATTAGAGAGCGAGGAGAGTGTGCAGTTTGCAATTTATACGCCGGCAGTCGATGGTCGCTCGGCTGTTAACGAGGTAGAATTTGCCGCTCGAGTTTAACCTTTTCATCCCCCGGTCGCGTCTTGCAGGCACGTTTACTCTACGGAAATGTGTCTAAGACGACTGAGCGAGCGCCAACGACGAAACGCGGAAATCCGAGGATCGAGCGAGACGGAGGGGATCGAGTAGGACGGAGATTAATTTTGCACAATGGCGGCCAGAACGTAGCTCGATTTCCGGATTCGCGGTACCGCGAAACTCAACTTCCGCCTTTCTCTCGGACAAAACAGAGGACGCACCCAGAGAGGTGCACGCTGAGACCCTGCCCGCGTTGCGTGGCTTCTGCCGCTAATCGTATACTCGGGAAATCGATATATCGCCGGTTCGGCATCAGTCAACCTGAGTTCGACGAAGGCCGTCTGCGACCCCGATCGACCTTTTCCACTTTGAATAATCCAGCGCGCGTCAGTCGTGAGGGATTGACTTCCTCCCGAGTCCCCCCCATATTCAACTTTCAACGCTCCACCTATAATACAACCCATAATGATCTTGCGTTCACGCACACGCACACGCACACGCGTGCGCGCGCCCTCGTGCACGCAAGAACGTCGTCGAAAATTTGTGCCTCATTTTCCCCGTTCTCTCTCTCTCTCTCTCTCTCTCTCTCTTGCGACCGTCTATTTTCGCGAGCTCACAAAGAGCAACTTGGCCGACCCGGAGCGCCGACATGGAGGCGATTCGATCAGAGTCAGGCACCGCGCATCAATTTCAACGACGCAGTTCCCCCTAACCGAGCACACCTGGCGGCGCGCGCGTTCGATGCACGCTTCGTTATCTAATCGGGACAAACCTTTTAGTCGTCGTCGTCGTCGCCGCCGCTGTCGCGCAGATAGCGCCGAACGGAAGAAGGCAACGTCCACGGCAACGTCGGCGGCTGCCGTCGCCGTGCGCTCGTCACGATACCATCGTGGAAACGCGGATCCTCAGGTCGCGTGCGGAATGGCAAAGCGGTAAACGATGAGCTGTGAGCTGCGAGCTGC